CACAAAAAAAAAAAAAAAAGAAAAAAAAAAACTCTCACCTCCCATAAGAACATCAACCCATCTCCTCCGCCTCAACAAGCTCCAGCATGCGCACGCCAAGTCTATAGAAGTGCGGCGCGAGGGAGCGCAGGTCGACGGTGCGCGGGTCGGCTTTTAGCGCGTTGAGGACCTTTTCTGAGAGGGCGTTGGGCAGCTCGAGGTTGACCAGGGGGGAGGAGTTGGTGCGGGCTCTGTGCGTATATAATACAGAAGGGGGTTAGGTGAGTAAAGGGAGGGGGGTTGGGGAAGAGGTATGTGAGGTAATTAGGTATTGGGAATAGGGGCACGGCGAATGGGATGGGATGGGATGGGATGGGATGAGTAAAGAGAAGAGCGGATGACGAACCCGACAGCAAGCATCTCGCCGAGCCAGAGGGGGAGGTCGATTCGGGTACCTGGTTTTATCTGGCGCGGGATTAGTTGATTAGTTGGGGATATCTCCGGCAATATTTTTATATACGCGGTGGCGGGATAGAAGCGTGAGAAGAGGAATTGGGATCCGGTATTGCTTATAGATATCCGGGCGGAAATTGTGAAATCAAGGAGCAATGAGACATAGCCAAAGCCAAAGCCAAAACCAAAGGGTATATATCAAGAAACATACATCCTCCCCAACATTACCATCCAGATAACCCAGCCCTGGAACTTCGAGTTCGAATGTACATGGTAATTTCTTATCGAAGCCGCCGCTCGCTCCGTCAGCACATACTCCGCATTCATCATTCTTATATTAAATTCGCAAACCACTGGGAGGAGGGGTTGGTGGAGGAAAGGATAGACGTATGCCATACCTGAGCATCTGTAAGAATGGCATCTAAGTCATAGTAGGACATGATGACTAGAATATTTGTTTCATATCCTACTCTTCCAACGCATTATGCGGCTGTATGCTGTATGTAACCGGGTTTCAAGCCATGGGATGTCTTCTCGGTTGCGGCTGGTTATGATCACGTGGAGATAAGATTAGATCTTCCTCCCTGAAACGCATCGTCTTTACCCTGCAGACCGACCAGATATTTTATCATTATTGCATATATGTACAGAATGTTGTGGGCGTGTTGGTATATTTCAGGACATTTTCTACTGCTCCTCTGTTCTTTCCCTCTGGCTGTTCTTGTTTAACCCAACCAGAGAGACAGTGGCTGATCGTGGATAGAAATCCAGCATACGGACTACATAACAAGATATGTATGTAGATGGTTATATTAAAAACGAATAGCTAAGAGGAGTGAATTAACCCCGAAACGATCTAAGCTCTTGCAAATCTATAATAAATTAAAGCTGAAGATCAATCTGTTTCTCTCATCAAGATAAATGCAGGGCATTAGTAGCTTCTACATATCCCCTATCTATGTACTGTAACCATGGAACATCGATCGATTGATTATCTTTCGAACCCCCCCCCCACCTCCTACAAGTCACATATTCCACAATGATATACCTCGCCGATCACTTCGTTATTTTTTACTACTTTATTTTCATTTTTAATCCTAAGCATGAGTTTGCCATCACATTTCCCTTCAAGAGAGTAGTTCTTAGAATGCTTTATTGTCACCCCTGCCATCGCAAATTCTCCAGTATGCGGTCACTGGATCAACATCGGGAAAATTCATCGCAGCACAACCGCGAGAGATTCCAGAAGTTTTTCAAATCGTCCGATGCCAAAAAGAAGCATATCAAGACCTTCCCGCGACATGGCCTATGTGAGCGCGATTTTGAGACTAGGAAGGCTTCACAGCTGCACCACAAAAGATCTTATCCAATTCCGACAAAACATGATGGAATCTTCGCGACGAAGAGCGTCCCTGTAGGCGATGTTGCGTATGTGGGTATTCCGCCGATAGCTGTGAAGCCAGTGTTTGTTTTGGCGTGTCGCCTTCGCTCAAGCCTACCAAAAGCGTAGCATGACAAAGCTAGATCGTGCCATCGTAAGCTCCATAATCAATGGTGCTCTTCGGCTACCCTAACGCCGCTTGATAACACTCCGGAGGGTATACAATGGCGGCAAGAGAAGCAGAGAATGAAAGAAGAACAGGCTCGACTTGCAGAAACGGAATTCACCAATACGATAAGAAATCTAGGCTACGTGTTTCAAACCGAAGCAGAGCAAAAGGAATCGATGATTAGCCCAACGCCTGACGTTCGCTTTCTGGATCCTATACCCATATCTGGTCACCTCTGCTTTTGGTTGGAGTATAAGAATTATTTTGGTTTTAAAGCGAATCCGTTCATAGCGTCACAGAACAAAACACAGCTCAAGAAATATATCGCGAAAATAGGGCCCGGAGGGGTAGTGTTTAGATTAGGCTTTGAGACAGACCATTTGAATATTAAGGGAGTCAAGGCCTTTCACGAAGAGGATCTGTTACAATGTTTAAGAGCCTCGATATTCAAGGTGGCATGATAGGATGATTAGTATGAACAAAATTGCGATCATGGAGTTCTGTGATTTCATGAAGAGCATCTTCAGTAATCACTTTTTTTCATTTTGGGGGTCATGCCCTTCTGTGTACATACTCAAAAACAATTAGGGATGGTTTTTTAGGAGAGGCAAGGTCGAGGTTAGGCTGGTCTCCCCGTGGCACCATACCTTCTCAAATTACTAAATTCCATCGTGACCAGCAGTATCAGATACTCCCAGCATATGCTCAGGACGGGGTTGTCCTATTTCGTGTGTTTCAAGGCTCAACAGACTCATCTGTCTTTGAAGATTTCATTGAAGAGCTACTTCATCACAGGGGGAAATGGCCACAGCCAAATGATACTTACACTTTCATTTTACTGGCTTCTCCAGCCAATATCGATGCTTACTGGATAGAGGTAAACATCATCAACAGTTAATTTTTCTGTCTTACCCAGCAACGGGTTCATATTAAAAATGCCTCCATTTTCAATGAGCCAAAACAGACGGGAATATACAAATGCGTAATCAAAATGGACGGGAAATCTGGCCAGCATGGCCACAAGGCTTGCATGCTCTCATTGTCAAAGAGGACCGAGATTTGAACCCTGAAGACTTCAATGAAGACCTCTCCAGCCTTTCTGATCTTGCTGGAAGTTCAAATGCTGAAATAAGAACATAAGTAGACATATGGCATCCGGCTGTGAACGTGATTGGGAGAAACTAACCTGCGAGATCTTGAATGCAGGACAATAAGGACAAAGTCAATCGGGACGATACCATGTCGGACAGATCCTACACCGGATCGGATGCTAGTTTCTACTATGAACTCAAAGCGGAATGTCAAGAGCGGAAGATGGAGCTCCAGGAAATAGGAGAACATAACAAGCAAGCAAAGGACAACCAAACTTTTGATCGAGACAGGGAAAGAGAGGTTCAAGAGATGTATGACCCAGTTAAGAAGCAGAGCAAAACACCACTTGAACCCATCACAGGTCACTTCTGTCTATATTCTGTGGAGCACATCGACTATTGCTACAGTTCAGACATGTATTCATCAAAGTATGTCGAGTTCTATTATTTGGATGAGGATGACCATTCGGGCCAGCTCTTGTCACCACAGTAAGTTGTGCACATATATGAACACATCTATTTGAATTCAAACACTGACTGTGGTTTTGAGCTGTTCTTCCCTCCCAAACATACTGGGCTCGAAAAGTTTCAATTGACAAGCATCCGCAGGAAATGTAAACTCATGTTTCAATTTCTCACCAACAACTGTCCGAAACTGGAAATCTCTTGTGAAGGAGTCTTTATGAACAGGAATCCATCAACTGACACACCTGAGGTCTTTAAGTGCGCAGATATCCATTTCGATAGAGAAAAGGGAAGGCAAAAAGGAAGAGGAAACACTCCCCATCCCCACAGGAAACTTGAGACAAACCATTCGGTGGGGTGGTGGAACTAAATCATAAATATGTCGGCTTTTAGCGGCAAAGGATTGCTGTGAAGTACGCCTTGTTATGTTCCAGCCTGCCTACATCAGATTTTGGGTAGTGCTGATTGCTCAGGACACAAACAGGCGACAACGTCTCTCAAGAACGTCTTTCGTCCCCATGTTCACTTGACCACTTGTTCGCCGGTTGTCATGGATACATGTGACATGACTTAACCACCAAAAATATCAGCGCTTACAGGAACGACTTCCCGCCAACCATGGTAGAGGCTTATCGGCGTGTGCGGAATCAAGGCAATAGGAGCCAAAATAGGTGTTTAAAAGTGTGTGAAATACTGGTATGCAAGGATTGACTATTCTTCGAAAAACTCTGTATTCCTATCTACTGCAAATACTAATTCATCGATGACCAAATACAGGAGCTTAAACCTCAGCTTTGTCTTGCTGAATGCAAGGTAGAATCCTAACGAGATCCTAACCCTCAGACCTCCTGTTCGACCAAACAAGCAGACGAACTGACTCTGAATCCAGACTCCGTACCGACTTCCACCATGAGGTCCATCACGTTCAGCTTCGCCCTTCTAGTCGTCCTGCTCGCGGCGCTGTCCGACGCCTGGAAGCTCCAGATCTGGGACAAGAACAACTACAAGGGCACGCGGATCCACTATCGCACCGGAACCATCAGACAAAAGTGCTCGAATCTCGCTTCCGGCTCCAAGAATAGAGCAAACAGCCTCAAGTGGACGGAGAACACGCTTTGCGAAGCTAGATTCTACGACAAGGATAATTGCAAGGGGAAGAAGTTGCTCGAGACCGGCTTCTGGGGAACGTGGAAGGGGAACCTTGGAAAAAATAGCAATAAAGTCAACTCGTACTTGATCAGTTGCTCTACTTGAGTGGGATCCGTTTGCCCCATCGGGGGACAACGACAGGGTGGAATCGAAGTTGACAGGATTGTTGGAGGCGGACACCCCGTACTATATTTTGGGCAGTGTGGGATTGTGTGCATTGGTGATAAAATGAAAGGGGGACGTCAATAGGTTATGTTCTGCAGAGAGAGTACTTGGAGGTAGATCAATATGATGATTCACATTGATATAAGGGATCGGGGTGGTCGGTCGGCTGACAACAAATGACGGCGCGGAATCAACGCCAAGTCGGAATTTATTCTTGCATAGGATTGTAGGTTGGGAGCGCGGCAACTGGTAGGGTTCGGTGGTGAGGTCGACAATCCTCAGTTCATTTCACCGAAAACATACTTCTGAACAGCCTACAATCACATCAGCGGAGTAGTAGGTACACCGAGACTCAGTCCTCACCGTACGAAGGACGTCCGTATGTTGCTGCATGCGAGCATAGACCCCTCGATACTGCTCGATGGTTTCGTTAACGACCCGAGTCTTAGTCGTTTGCCCATTGCATATGGCGTTCATCTTTAGCTCCATCTACGCCTGTCATCAGCAGCCCGTGACGGGGATTGATCAAGAACGTTATCTTACCTCCTTGCGTAAAAATGGCTTCATCAAATTAGTCTCGAACCCCATATTCTCGTGACCCTCAACCAAAGCGACCCCCAGCGTCGTGGGTATGAACTCCCGAACACCTGTGATAGCGCCACCGCGGCCAGCACCGCTATTCCTGCCGCCACGACGAGGGGCTACTGCAGTTCTACCTCTACGGCCATTTCCGCCTCTCGCTTGGGCTGGCAACTCCTCGGACTCTTCTTCGTCATTGCCATGCCGCGCCTGCCTTGGCTGAGCTCTGGCTTCGACGTATTGTCGGTCTATAATTGTGACAATATGGTCGGCCATGGTAGCATCAGTGCCGATACCATTCGCGTTCATTAGTGCAAGCAGGTCTGGTTCAGTTAGATATCCAGGTGGTGACGTCTTACCTTCACTGAGAATGGCTTCGGTCGGCTCGAAGACCTCGCCTTTGATGAACGGGGGAAGTTCTTGGTTGCTCCACCGATCGTAAACGTAGACATCGAGATAGTTGCGCTCTAATATTACAAGGCCAGATGCATGGAATGTTTCCGGTCCATAGAGAATAATAATGTCGGTCTTTGACCCCTGGGCGTCTTTGCTGCAGCATGCCAGAAAGTGCCGGACGACGAACTCATGAACACGCTGCTCTTCATGTGAGAGCGTAGTTGGATTGACGAAATTGACCGGGTGGATAGGTGGGTGGGCCTTATCATCATTATGTCCGTTACGGGGCCACGAAAAGCCTCCTTCGACAAGCGCCGTTGCATAATCAGCCCAGCGGCCGCCCTGCGCCTGCTTCTGGACGAGGCCGCGAAGGTCCATACCCCGATCGAACTGATCTGTCTCGGTTCGAGGATAGCTAATCCAACCTTTTTGATATAGCTTTTCTGCAAGCTGCAGAACCTTTTGACTGTCCATTCCGAAGAATCTGCTACCGCACTTCTGAAGCTCTAGAGTAGTCAACGGTAAGGGTTTCCACTTGCTCGTTGGCGTGGTTTTGACCTTTTGGACCTGAGCATTCTGCGAAGTGAGACATCGCTCATAGAGAATAACAGCTGTCCTTCTGTCGAAGAGGTGCTTACGAGCCCAACTAAAGTTCACCCTTGTTCCAGCTTTTCGATGCATCAGTTTGATGCTCCAGAATGGTTCCGGGATAAAATTCCGAACGCGCCAGTAGCGCTCGACGATGAAGCCAAGCGTAGGAAACTGACAGCTCCCGTAGCTGATTAATTGAGAGGCTTCTGACAGATTGCCTCGCTGGAGTACAGGACGAAGGCTCAGAGTGAGGTGCCGGGTGAAGCTTGCGCCCACACGAAGATCGAGCTCGATACGTGAAGCTACTGCGTTGGCTTGCGCTTCGTCGAGATCGGCGGGACGATGAGCGGCGTGGATGATATGCGTTCTTTCGATGTTGGAGAAATGTGCTCTTACTGTGCCGCCAGCGCGACCCAGAGCCTGGTTGCTTTGTGCTGCCACCGACCGAATCTCGGTGCCTATATGCTCACCTTCGCGGTCGCAGTCGGTCCAGATAAAGAGCACGCCGGCCCGGCGAGCGTGTCGCTTGATGTTGTCCGCGATAGGCTCGCTGTTGCTACCAACGAAAACCTCGATGCGAGCGTCAAAAAGCGCAGATGGGTCGCATGAAGTCCAGCTCTTGTATCGCGGCTCAAACTCGTGGCTGAGGAGGTGGCCGAGCACAGAGGTCATCGTGACACTGCAATGACCCCATTGCCGGAAGGTGTAGTCGAATTCGTAGTTCTTCACATACGGATTGCCTTGGATATTATGCTGCACGTCCATTAGCTCGACTGGCTGATTGCGCGGGTCTGTGCTCACGAACGGTAATCACTCGATCTCCCAAGTGGTTTGCAATTGCTTTCGCAATCGATGGCTTTTCCGCAACGCATAACACCGTCCTCACCTCCATAGCGGATCGTGTGTTTCGCGTTGACACAGATCGGAAAGGCAACGTATATACTACTCCCGAACGACGCGTCTCCGGACGTGCGCAGGCCTAAGGTAAGTAGCTGTATGCGAAAATGGTGTTAGCGTATCTGGCAAAAGGCCAGTCGACAATGCCATAGGCACTGTCTGTAAGCACCTTTTGTATGAAGATGTAGGCTACTGGGGCAAAAGAGCTCGATCACCACCAGCGCACTGCTGGTAGAAGGGCCGACCAACCGCGGGACCCCCAACAGAAGAATAATATTATTGTCTAAGCTAAGAGAGTTCTTTGAGTTGAGGAGGAAGATGAGGTGAAGGCTAAGTAGTCACATGATCAATCATGATTACATAAGGGCTCAACCTCGTTGGTCAAGCGCTTATGTCTGCCAATGATCAAACTACCTACGAGAACGCTCACGAACACTGCACTGAAGAGGAGTTATACGTGCACGTTGGCGCAAAAATAGCCCCATTGGGGTCCTTTTTTGACGATATCAACTACGTCAAAACGCCGCAACAATACGAGCTCTTTCAAGACTGTCAGCGCGCTACAAACGCTTATCCATCCGTTGATAAACCACCTAAAACACTCGAGCCGGTTAAGCCAGTTGTTATTTGATGGAACTCAGCGTACCCAGCTCTTGAGTGCGCCACACGCTTACAAAGTGCGTTTAATTGCTACACTAAGCACCATATAAACAGAGTTACAATTGAGGACTCAAACTCGATAAGGAGTAACAACAAGCTACCTGACGCGCCAAGTTGGATGAGATCTGATGGCCTTACTGCTGCTGACTGGACCGTGATTACTGAGTATCAAGAGACCCAACGCCACTCAAAGGAGCTACTCAACGCCTTGAAGGCCGCGGCAAAGACGGCAAAGACGACGCTATATACGAGATTATACCAGTACACGAGCACGTCCTTAACTACCTCGAGGAGCGACTCCAATTGTACGGAGATGTTGACTTTAACGCTCATTGTGAGGCGCTCGTCGCGCGGAGTTGCACCTACAGGCAGCTCAATTGATGACGCAATTAGTGCTTACTTGCGCGGCGGAGGCAATGCAGACGCTCGAATTGATAAGTTTGAGGACTGGAAACTTCATGAACCTGAGTTGACAGCAGCCCAGTACAAGGCACATGGCAGCCCAGTCTTGTATTGGATACAACTGCGGCTAAAATACCCTGATTTAGCGCAGCTTGCTATTGACATTATGACTATCCCAGCATCAAGTGGCGATTGTGAGTGACTCTTCAGCAAGCTGGGCGACCTACTTAAGCCCAAACTTCACTGCTAGTGTGGGTACGAGCTGGCTTCAAAACACCATATACTAATGACGAGATGGACTTAACTGACGAGGAGGCGATGTGGGACCAAAACATGTGTGAGTGGGATACTTCAACACTGTAATTTGTATGGCAGTCGATCTCTTTGGCATCAATCAAGCAATCACTTGTCAATCAATAAATCCAAAACTCACTTTCAATTCAATCAATCAATCCAATCAGATTGGCTTCAACAACCAATCAATTCAATTCAAGAGCTCAATATTGATTTGATTGATTGTTTACAACTGTGGCTCCCGGTATTCTCTTTGCCTTTTCTTTTGAAAGAAGAAAGTTCTTTTGCTTATTTGGGATGTAGTAAGTGGTCCCCAAGTGCAGTCACGCTGTAGAGAATATTTACTCGAGGCCACACGGATCATGATCAACTTTCAAGCACAATGTACTCAATGGGAAAGGAAGTAGTGAGTGACAGTTTGCATATGTTTCCTATATGTATAGAGCTGGCCGGCCGACATGACAGCTCCCTCATCTGTCACGCGTTTTCCATCCAAAACGAGTGTCCATTCCTGATTTCCAATTCCCCGCAGATCCATCAATGCCTGCATTCGACTGTCGTGCAACATCCAACTATTCAACTTCGCCAGATCCACGCGACACACGCTGCCCCCGAATCGATACCTCAGACATCTGAGAGATAGTGAGTGGTGTTTGTGTGCACAGATGTAGAAGCACTTACGCGAAACACAGTACGGTTCAAGATTAATCCCGTAGCGATTCTTCGTTTTCTGCTCATGGCAGCCTTCCTTCGTCTGATGGATGGCTTGTCAGTGAAGTCCATAGCCTGTGAATTCATTCTCTTACGGCTGTCGCAGTAGGTGCTGTTTGCGCGCAAGTTCTGCCGCATTCCCCTTCAACTGGATCGTAGTACTCGCAACCGGAATTGGGCATGGTGCTGGCAGGTGTTCGAAGGATTTGTAGTAGTCTCTTGGGGTACAAGATTGATAGGTGACTGGACTGGATGGAGAGATTGTGTTGAAGACGGAACGAAAGAGCTGTACTGCTGCACACCTCATATATATACCCTGTGTGCTGGATTGGAAAAGTGATGGTACAGGCGTCAGTCTGCCTTTGGCGCCGCCCAGCTACGCCGCGGATGTGAGACCGAGCACGAAACCTCGTCGTTGGGTGGCATGGGAGGCGTGTCCTTCCAGAGGCCCTATCCATACCCCACGGGTGAGGGGCGATCTGCGAAGGGGCTCGGAGCGAGCCCCTCCCGCTGCGCCGCGATAACCTAGTGTCTTCGAGCTTACCAGCGGCCGAAAGGTGATATCCAATGAAGACCGTGTTTACCGTGCATCCACAACACATCCACTATCACTAACTTAGATAGGCTACGGATGTATTGAAGCGGTTCACGCTTGCGAGCAGATTCCCAGCGCAGGGTTCAGGTACCCATGAATTCGAAAGGGAGCACGGAGGATCAATTCCGCAAAATTTTCAGGAAAACGCGCGCCTCAAGCATCCAAAGAGGCTGGAAATCAGCCGATTCGTCCTGCGTCATTTAGGCCTTCATTACTCCAAGTCACGTATAATAGTATTGATAATCCTGCTCAGGTACGGAGAACGGGATACGCTCACAGAGGATGAGATCATGTAGGCTGCACCTAGCGCTTGGCTGACGCACACGTCTGTCGCCAAAAATATAGTAATTCGGATACGCTGAATGTCGTCGGAATGAAATTATCGTCATGTGTAGTTACCCCAAAGGCGCCTCGCCACGCCATCCTCGGCTCTCCTGGACATTGCCTCCACCAATCGATACCTCCCCACCCGTATCGAGTTATCGGCCGGCGAGTGGGTGACCATCAGCGAATCCTGGCTGTCCCATCTGCTTTTCCTTTCACCCACGCTTGCGCTCGCGCGCTCACTGATCCTTGTCACGCCCGGCGCTGGTGGCCCGCGCTCGTTCAAGGGACTGGCTGCGAGAGCGACGCCGAGATGGATGGTTGCTGCGCCCAGGGCCTTTCTCTTCCTTTCTCATTTCCCATTTCCCATTCTCCTGGGCCCCTTGCAGAGTAGTGGGACACAAACTACGCGGACGGCGGCGGCACAGCTGGATCGCTGGATTCAGGATTGTTTCTGCTTGTTTTCTTCGTCTGCACCCATGGTGTGAACGCTTGCCATTCTTGGTTCTGGGTCCGGACGGTCGATTGTTTGCCTGGCACACACCCTCGCCTCGATCATTACGCTGGCGTCTCGTCAGTTGGCTGCGGCGTACTCATCCAACAGCGGATGGTCTGACGGACGCACTACGGTTTCTGAGTTGGCCAACCGTCCGAGGTATGGCTGAGCCTCGACTGGGATGGGCTGTTTCCACCCCCTCCTGAACCCAAAAAACAATCCTTGAGGTGAAAGACCAACTTGAAATCTTATTGATTCTTGGAATTTTAGGGTTTAGCAAGCACCATAGCTTTGAGCGTGTTTGAATTTATAAGTGGATAGATTGTTGTTGGCCGTTACGGCTGTGGCGATCTCCCTAGATCACGTGACCAACCACTATTTAAGCTCTTTGTAGATAGCTCTTAGTACAAGATTGATGATTTACAGAGAAGAATGATGATGATAATGATGAAAATATTCAATTCTACTATATTACAGTCTGCCTGTAGAATCACTGTTTTCTAATGCAGACTAGCTCTGCAATAATTAGCACATCAAGGCTTGTGTACTACAAAAACATTTTTATATATATAATAAGAAAATGAGATTAATAAAGTGAATAGAAAACCTCAGCTAGTTACAGTTCTGAGTAGACTAGATATTTCAGTAGCAGGTCTCAGTCTGTGCATGATTTTAGAGTAACTTGATAATAGAGTGAGATGAAATTGCATTGAGAAAGAAGAGAAAGTGAATATAATTATCATATTGAGAATAATTTCAGCTGTAGCATAGCTGGTCCAGGTGACACTAGCAGTGACAAGGAGAAGAAGAAATGTTCACAGCACACATGAGACAAGAAAATTATGAGAAAAGAAAGAGAAAATAGAGACAATGAAGAGAGAATGTTTGAGCAGTGAGAGAAGGAGATTTATATAGTTCAGAAAGCAGCAATGTTGCACTAAACCCGATCAGAATAGCACTAAAGGTACAGAAGGTCCATTTACGGAAATTTGATAAGAAGAACAAGTGTCATTTAAGCAATATTGAATTGGCATTGCTTCAGTCATGAACACACTAAGTAGCGAGTTGAGCTTGATTTATCTCCGCGGCTATTTCAGAGCATTCTTCATTTCTGTTTCACTGATATCACCCACAGCTCAATGAGTATAAACCACACCCCTCACTCGAGTCTCTTTCCATTTCCCGTTTTGACACAGTCGCGAATAATATGATGTTGGGAACCAAAGCAACTATCAGACCATACTGGTTCGCGGTTGAAGTGAAATTTCAGAAAACCCACAACCAGACGAGGCGGTTGGGGAAATTTCGTATTCTTTTGCGGACTGAAGATTAAAAAGGTCCTGAAACACGGCTTGGACTACGGAACCGGGGCCAGACGAACCAAGGGCCGAACACAGGTTGACAAGAAACGAGAAACAGGAACAGGGACGGGAACGGGAACGGGTCAGGATCAGGAAATCAGTTTCGATCTTGATTGATCTGATCTCACGGGGGAATTGGCTGACGCTTTTACAGTTCTTATTATAGGACAAGGTAAAGTAAGGCATGAGCACAAATCTGACAATGACAGTGTTTTAAAGATGGAATATAGTTACCATCCCCACCATTATGAGTTGAACCAGCTTCTCTTCAACAAAGGGACGAAATCCCTCTCTCTCACCTTGCTCTCCTCTGCAAGAATATACGGACTACTCCGTCCATGGGATCTTAGGCCTGATCGACAGCGTGTAGCAAACCTCCCGAGTCACTTTCTCTCTGGCCACTGGTGCTTCCTCCTGTTAGATTTTCGATTTTCTATAGCCCAGCCAATTGACAGCCCCAGAAATAACGTTAAGCCGAGAGGACTCAGGACAAACGGATGGCGGGGCGCTCCCTCCATCGTCGTCCATGTCTCAGCCTAACTTCCGCCGTGCTGATTGAACAAAGTTGGACTACTTTTTTTTGTTGTTCCAAGCTGCGAGATAATTGCCCAGAAAGACGATGGGCCATTGGCCCCCCATGGCATGGATCCGATCCCCCAGTCAGTTTAAAAAAAAAACTAGAGACAAGGAAAGACAGGGAATTGGGAATCAGCACTTATTGTTTAGGAAAAAAAAATATATAAATAAATATCTCGGATTCTTTTCAACCATTCAGAGACGTATTAATAAACAATCCATTGCTAGTCAACTAGCACCATTATTAATAGTAAGTAGTATTATTTAAGTTAATACAACGCTCTGTTGCTTCTTTGTGAAACAAAAGCCAAGGGAGGATTCGCTGTTGTCTACGCTGGGTAATACAACTGGACCGACCGGACTGGTTATGATTCTTCTTCGTCTTCTCCCGCTGTGTCCGCCTCTGGTTTCCACAATATGAACGCTGCGAGCGAAGAGGGAACTTAAACACAAACTTCTCCATAGAGTTAGCTATCCAATAACTGACTACTCCGTACTCTGTACCCAGCGACGGATTACCTAGGTATAGTACGGAGTATAAATACATGTACAGGTACTTTCTCTCAGCTGGAAAACGGCTTCTGGCGCTGGGGGATAATACTGGTGGTGTCTGTCACCGTACCAACCGGCTTCCTCACGACTCTGGAGTTATGATAGATAGATAATATACCCGTGTTGCATATGCATGTGCGACTGTCCTGGTCTATTTTCTTCCTGTGATTCCATCTCTTTCTGCTACTTCTCCTTGTCCAAGTTCCAGTTCCTCCGCCATCGTTTGTCGCCCTTCTGCTCACGAGACCAACCTTTCTGCCAACTTGGAACTCCAACCACTCCAACTCTAACGTCGCTCCAACTTTCCCACCCTTCAGTTCATCTACCTTTTCCCTTTTCCTCTCTCTCTCTACCTTGGTGCCTCCTGCTCGTCTGGCTCCGGATTCGATGAATACGCCTCCGTTCGCTCGCTGATTGCATCCGCGCATCCGTTTTATTGTTCACTGGTTTCTCTGTATGGGCTTCGCCGCCTCCGCCTTATTTCGCAATTAACCGTCGCCGCCGCATTCATCATGGAGTACAACGCCCTCTCCCAGTCCGACGACAATGATGAAGTGGCCTCCAATGCCTCCGCTTCAGATAGATCAGAGTCTTCTCCCCAGCCAAACCGCCGCCGCGCCTTTCAGAAGCTCACTCTCAACATGGACAATCTGGGGGGCCCAAAGTATATGAATGCGGCCAGAATAGGCGATCAGCCCAGTCCATCGCTAGGCTCGGTTATGAGATCGTTAGGGCCCGCCTCAACCAGTAGCTATGACCTTCTAGAAGATGATGACTACGACACCCCCTCAGCAAACCACGGAGAGCCAGGATATAGCTTTGTCAGAGCAAATCATAAGAACGAGATTAATGATTCACAGCCTTCTTCCTCCTCTCACAACCATCAGGGTTACTCGAGCAACAATCATAACAACATAGGCGCCTCCACCAGCAACCACCTCCGAAACGCCACCCCGGCCACTCCCGCACAGCCCTCCGAACCCCTAATTCGATCCCCCGTTTCTTCACGTCCTGTTCCGCTTTGCCACCCGACTCCTGACCTTCAGTCGCTACAGGGCGCTTACGTGGGGAATGTTGAGCGGCTGGAAAAATCTGCAGAGACCCTGAGCACCTCTTCGGATATCGGGGAAGAATTACGCAAATTGAAGCAAGAACAGAAGCGGCTCTCAGTTGCAAGCTGTAGCGCTGTTGATCACCATCCTTTCGGCCGGGGCTCCCCTGTTCGCAAATTTTCCACCTCGTCGCTATCGAACTCGATCATTGGCGTCAATACCACGGCAAGGTCGAACGGATACCCCCCAGGAGATTGCGTCGCGTCACCAAAGAGCTCAGTCATGTCTGCTTCTCGCTCGCAAGTTGGTGCTGCCGCGTCCCGCGCTCGATCCGCCTCAGTTGCTTCACGACTAGCTCAGGTCCTCGAACCCGAGAACGAGGACCAAACGACCCAATCCCACCAACCCCCCGCAGATGCCGCTCCATACCTGCAGCCTTTAGAGATTCCTGAACATGATTTCATGGATAATCAACGTCAAGACGACAACCCCCACCACCACGAACAACAACAACCACCCCGTGACCCTGACCAGCCTCAACCTACGTACGATGAAACCGTCCCCGAAGAACGTTCCACGACGGCAAGTTCAACAGATACTTACAGGCAATCTAAAGCTCTATTCAAAGACTTCGATGGAGTTCATTTCACGCCGTTCCCAAGAGAACGAGTCTCAGGCCGCCGTGCTTCGTTATCAAAACCCCCTCTAGCTAGAGAATCACCATCATTCAGCAATCCACCACCAGGCCAAAAGTTGGTATTCTACCCTGCCCCTGTTCCAATGATGCTGAACCTTCCCCCACGACGATCGAAAAGAGCGCCTGAGCCACAGCACGAAAAACGCCGTACGCAGCTTATCAATTCCCTCCCAGTGGATGCGAGGAAGTCAGCGGCGTGGTTACCACAGCTAGACCCGGAGTATGATGGCAAAGATTCTACAGAGACACGGAATAACAAGAGAGTATCTGAAATACCGCCACAGCTACGCGCATCTGCTTATTTTGAGCCGCCCCCAGCCCAGATAGACATTGAAATCAAGCAGAATTCGGCCGTTGCTACCCTTGATAGCATTCTTGATGCGTCCGCACAGGCGCCCGTTAGTGCGTTTACAGATCACCCCATCGTAGGTCATGTTGGCGCTGAGGTGTACGGAAAGCCCAAGGCGAAGAGAAAGCTGCAGCCTCTAGCGGGTAAGCAGGGCAAGCATGCTCTCCGCAAATCTGTAGGCGCTCGGGATAGCGTAATGCCGTCCCGAACTGGCATCCGTCCCGCTGAGCAGGAAGGAGGTAACGAGACCGAAGGACATGCTGCTGAGGGCAGCGATGAGGTGACTCCGTTCCACGAATCGTATGAAGGTGATCAAGGTCCCTCGGGCACGAATCTTCACAATGATATGGAGCGACGGGATAACGATGAACGGAATGAGAGCCGACTTAAGAAAGACGAAAATTCTAGAGGGGACGATAGCGAGGACGGCGAAGAGGAAGAGGATGAAGAAGATGAGGAGGAGGAAACTTACGTTGGAGCCCCAACAACCCTCCTTGCCGAACTCCAGATACGCAAACAAGAACAAAAACAACGAAACCGCACCGCAGCCACCGCCTTCCCCAACGGCATGCACTCAACTTTGCTTGAACTCGACGCGGTCGCCCAACACCAACGCGAAACGCGAAACCAAAAGCACATCACCCTCGCGTGGGAGGATCCAGGTATTGCAGAACGGAATGAACCGGACAACGAAAATGTGCCCCTCGCCGTCCTGTTTCCTAAAAACCTTCAGAGCGATGAAAACAGACCAATGGGCCTGATGGAGAAGCTAGAGCTGGAAGAAAACGAACCACTCAGCCGTCGTCGGGCGCGGATCCGTGGCGGACCTATTGTTGGCGGAGCCCCGATGCAACGAGCAAGCCCTGTTTTCTTACCCGATGATCACATCAATGGCAACGGCCACACGAACAACAACAACGAAGAAGAAAATGATGACGAGGAGGAAGGGGAGACGCTTGCTCAACGCGCCCGACGGTTGAAAGCCGAGGAAGCTAATATACGGCTATCGAGAGATTTCACGAGTGAGCTTCTGACCAAATTTGGCGCCACGTCGATTGATGAGCCACGCTCGTCAACTGAACAGCAGGCTAAGGATTCCCAGCAGCAGTCGCCGTCTACCGTCCCGGACTCCGTGGAACCGCCGGTGGAAGAGACGCTTGGTCAACGGCGGAGGCGTTTGCAGGCTGAGAAGGCGCAGGCGCAGGCGGCGGCGGTGGGGGAGGATGAAGTGAAAAATAACTTCACGGCTACGCCCATCGGCAAGCCGCGACATAACATGGCGACTGTCCTGCAGGCGCACCCGGCGCGCAATGGCGGGAATAATCCCTATCTCAACAATGGAGCTGCAGCGGGGAATACAATGCGGCACTCGCACCAACCTCTCCTCTCCGCGCAGCAGCAGCAGCAGATACCCAATCGCATGTCAATGATGCAACAGCAAGGATACGGTGGCAATAGTGCCAAATACGTCATGAACCTATCCTCACATGCGCATGCGCATGCAGGGTATGGGTCAATGGGATATGGGCCCGGCATGGGCACGGGTATGAGTGTGGGAAATGGCGCGCAGTACCCACCCACGATGGGTATGAATAGCAGCACAGGTTTAGTGTATGGGAATGGACATGGACATGGACATGGACATGGACATGGATATGGATATGGATATGGATACCCGGACGCCGTTGCTGGTGGTGGTGCTCCTGCTGCTGGTGGACAGCCTCATGGACCCATTATTGACCCCGGCCAGCGCGATCTTATCGACCGGTGGAGGCAGAGTGTGCGGTATTAGATGGGGAATAGAGAAGGTAGAAGACATACGTTGTATTCTTTTTTTTCCCCCTTCCCTTACTTTGGTCCGTACTTTGTTTCTTTTGTCGTCGTTGGTTCGGATTTTCTTTTAATTTTTTGTTCCTTCGGTTTTTCTGAAGGAGGCATAGCGAGTTGTTTTTCTTCTCCATATCTCTCTATTCCTTTTAATTATCTTTTGCTTTTCTTCTGATCATATAACCGGACGCAAGCCATCTATCACCTATAATTCTTCATCACTTGACGGAGCGGGGGCGTGCGAGTTACATACCAATTTTTTCCCTGGTATTTCTTCTCCAGAGGAAAGGAAACTGGCGAGATCCCCCGCGGTCTCACGGATGGGCATCTTTTTACTCTGCGGTTTTCTATTTTGATGTCTTTTTTTTTTTTTTTTTTTTTTTTTTTTATATATATATATATATATATATATGTATATATGTATCTCGTCGCATTTTTTCATCCGCATTTCCAGCGTTCTCAGAAGCTTCTATTTGCGAGCATGTACTGTACAATACAATTAAAATATACCTAGTAGACATCATCATGATGCACTTTGCTATCGCTTTTATTTTTAAATTTTTTTTTTTTTCCCCTCCGAGTTGGGGACTTCGTTGATTTCTTAACGAGGAGGCCTTCGCAGG